GATCAGTCAAATTGTGTTTGAATTGATTTCGGCATTTCTCATGCTCCATGCTTCCAGAGACGACATGGTCACACTTCTTGCTCCTTCATTGAACACATAAAGCTTAGCTGCTTCACCAATTGCCAATTTGGGATAAACCCTAGACGTTATCACACTTCTTCCTCCTGCTCCATAGCTCTCTATAATCGAGTGATCAATCTAGAAAAAAAAAAGATGTTATACAAGGGTTCAGATTTTTTTAAAATGTTTAGTGTAAAAAATTAAAGAATATAATTGAGAATTGCAAAAAAGGCCTAATTTAACTCACCAAACATCTTAATGAGATCTTCTCATGTCTTGGATCGATGTCTAGGAATGTTCCATGCGCAGATTTCTTTATGTTGTCTCTCATCGAAGACCTACATTACCATTTTATAATAAAACAACAAATTTACACAAACAAAAAGAAACATTTGGTTTCTTGTTTTGTTTTTTATATAGATCAAATTCGAAACCTTACTTCTTCTCATCGCTGCCCATTATAACGGAATATCCATTTCCGCGACGAATAATTTTGAAGAAGATTGCGGTTTGTTCCGATAAATCATTGCTTGCCAATGCTAGCAACCCAAATGGCCCGTAAACACATCCGACCGAGCTTTCACGATCGAACAAAACCGCATCACTAGCTTGGTCCGAATCCAGTAAGTGAGAATTATCTTCCAGAGCAGGCAGATCAAAAGTCACTTCTACGTCGGCCTTTAACAACACGAGCAAAAACGTGTAAATATTCATGGGTTGGTTTATGGAAATCATTAACCAAATAACACACTTTTTTAATTGGATTTGGAAATCAATTTAAATACACAAACTAATAAACCAGTTGTAACTATATTTACAATTGAAGTACCTCGCAAATGTTATAAACTTAGTCATTTTTTATAACAAAAACATGATTGAGAAAACTCACTTGTGCAGCAGTAAGGCCAGAGATTTCAAATCTCGAGCCGCTTTCGAACTGCCTGCTATCAAAAGTAACATGTTTGGTTCGGAGATTGTTGATTTCTTCGATTGGCCATTGTATCAGCTTCTTTCCACTTGTGTCCAGCCAAATTTCCCTAGGAAGAGACTAAACCAAAAACAAACCAATTTTTATCAAATTTCGTAACAATTAATAAAATCTACAAAAACCTAAACTATATATATATATATTTTTTTTTTGGGTCACAAAAACTATATATTATATTTACCATTAGGCCAGCCCATCCTTTCTGAAAATCATCGTCCTTGGTATCAGTCTCTATAACCCATCCCCAATTGATCCTCCGATCCTTAACGCTATCGAAAAACGCCTTAGAGGCGTAAAACGTTCCATAATCATATCTCAAATCGGCATTTGTCTTAGTGAAGTCAGAATCCGCGGAAAATTCTTCAGTCTCGGAAGAGTATTTGCCAATGACATAGCAATCATTGCCTCCAAAACTCGCCTTCAAGACATGCCTCACATTAGCATTGTTCACTGAAGTCTCTACACCTTCTTTACCGGTGATGGAAACGGGGAAAAAATCAGGGCATTCCCACATTCCGGTGGCTTGTGACTCAAGTAAAGGAACCGGAAACTTTGTCCATTGGATAAAATCATCGCTTCGGTACAAAATCGCCATTCCTTTTTCGCTATCTTTCTCTTTAGCTCCTATGAGAACTCTCCATTTCCCATCTTGCCCTTGCCACGCGGTCGTAGGGTCACGGAAACAATCAAAAGGGACGTTGTTTGGCGGAACCATCACAGGATTGTACTTTGGCTTTACCCACTCACGAAGCAAAGGGTCGGAAACGTCCTTAGGTTCGGCAACAACTGTGACTTGCTGTTTGTTGTTGTCGTCGAGCCCGGTGTACAAAATCACAGGTTTTCCATCAGGGAGGATCGTGGCGGAACCGGACCAGCAGCTGTTGATGTCAAATGGCTCAGTGGGGTAAAGGGCTGGTTCGAGTTGGATCCAGTTGACCATATCTTGTGAAACAGAGTGTCCCCATATCATTATTTTACTGAAACCAGGAGCCAAAGGGTTGTGCTGGTAGAATAAATGGTAGAATCCTTTGTAATACATTGGAGCTGAAACAACATTTGTAACATAAATATGTCATCATGTAAGACTTTGGGGTTTCTTGTATAACAAGTTAAAAGTGTGTAGAGGTTTTCATTACCGTTTGGATCTTCAGATTCCAAGATGCATCCAAGTACCAGAAGTGACATAAAAGTGAGACGATGGTTGATAACAAAAATGTGAAATGGCTTAAAGAAAATGTGATCTCGTCAAATATGTTTTAAGAATTCGAATATTTAAGAGTTCATGCTCCCAAAAAAAACAATCATACGTAGTATTATTATTGCAAAGTTTATAGATTGTGGTTTTAGAAAACCTATAGATTATCATCTAACCTAAATAATGTAAACCATTATCTAACTACAGTAACTTTTTTAGGAAAAAAAAAAAAAAAACTAGTAACTTTTTTTCCCTAAAAAACATTCCGAAAGAGTACCTCAACTGTTTTTTTTTTTTTTGCTAAAAAGTTTACGTCAACTGTTTACTTCACAAATAGCTAGAAAAACGAATAACCCTATTCATTGATCAATTTTAGTATAAAGTTGAAATTAGCCGTTTATTGGTTTATGAACTAAAAATAACAGAGATTTTTGACAATGATGATAGATGAAAATAAATAAGAGGAAATGGAAAGAAATATAACCGTTGAGCCAATTTCTCTGAGGTTGGAAATGAAAGGAAGTCCGGTTAAGCACGTCATTTTGAAGAAGATTCTGAATGTTTCCATGTTCAGCCATTGATGATCTTACTCCGAAACAGGAATCGATCCTCAGGGAATACGATATGTGTATATATGTGTGGCTGTCTATAAGTACTCTTGAGATCTTGCCAAGAAAATGATTAAAGAGTCGTCATAAAACTTCATTCTATTTATAATGCTATTAGCGTTGACATTGACAACTTCCATTTTGTCTTAAGGTCGAAGTATCGTGGAAGAAACTCTCAAGATAGTTGTTAATTATATGTGACATTAATTTATTATTATTAGTAGGCTTTTTAAGRCATTAATTGGTCTTTGTTTAAAATGGCATTGGAGATCTTTGGATTAATTCATTAATACTCATCTTTATTATTGAGGAAACTTCTGCAGGCAGGGTTAATAGTATATTTTAAATCAACTTGGTCCATGGTTCTTTATTTATGTATTAAAAGAATTCTCTTTTCAATAATACAGATAAGCATTCGAATTGAAAATTAATAGAAGGAGACTGCATCATTTATATATGGCTTAAGCCTTAAGTCAATGAAAACACCAATGAGAACTTTGTTGATAGCTTTTGCATGTCAAAATTTTTAGATCATCGACTTTTTACACACAAAAAAATATACTCCTTCCGTTTCAAAATGTAAGTTATTTTAATTAAAAGCGCAAATATTAAAAAATATTTTTTTTCCTAAAAAATATCATTTAATATATATAATAAAAATAATTTAACTAATCATAAAATAGACTACAAAACACTATTGGTTATACAATCCTCTATTTATTAATTGAGAAGACACTAAGTGAAAAAATCCTATGTGTCACTCAGTGAAAATTTTAATGGACACATCAATTAAATTAACTAATCAAAACATTTCAATTAATTTCATATGACATGTTGGAAATCTCTACATATTTATATTAATTTTTAACATGAACTCACAAATACATATATTAAAAATTTATATCCAAATAAAATATAACTTATTAATATTTTAAACGTTATATAACCCAATGTTTTAACAATGAATCATATACCGATGTCAATTATTTTATAAAAATTGTATTTATGTATATTTTAATACCATATGTGATTGATCATACAA